ATTTTTAAAGTAATTGATGCATTTTAAGTGTATTTATTTAGTGGTTCATTTAATTCTGCTTTTATTTCTAATTATGTCAGTGTTGGTCCTCCGTACTGCAGAAGCCTGATAATGATATATTCATTCATATCAGGTGTGTTGGAGCAGAGAAACAAGTGAAACCTGCAGGGCTGCGGCCCTCCAGGACCAGGACTGACCAAGTCCGCTTTAAAGTGTCTGTGACATGTCATATCCAAATCAAAGAAAACATCTTTATGTTTAAGAAACTTGGCATAAAACACACAATTTTACTCATTTTGTCACATAAATGGCATATTTTCTTTTGAATTTGGCTCAGCCAAAGTGAAACAGGAAGTGACATCAAAGGGGAACTCTTAAAGAAAACTAACTTTCTGGTTTTTGTTTAYTGAAACAATCTCATTTGAACTCTGACTTTTCTTCAGCTCTCTGATAGAGACTCAAAATAATCTAAAGAAACATCAGAAGTGGGTTCTGATTGAACAAAACAATTCTGGACTGGACTCATGGACCAGACCTGAACCCAGTGGAAAATGTGTCGACTGATTTCCTTCAGCTGTTTTTGGTCCAYGGTTCTGAAGGTCACAGCAGTCAGTTTTTCTGTAGGAGTTTTACAGAAATGCATCTTTTTTTCACGACATCAGATCATAATGAGAACATATGGCCACTYAGCCTCCGTCTATCTTAGACCTTAAATCCTGCACCGACTGGGAAATGAAAACCTACACATTTACATGATTACTTCTCCACCGAGAGCMGAATGAGCTCAAATATTTTCTGTTTTTATCGTTCAGGTGAAGTTTTCCACACGTGAAAAGAACATTTGAATAAAACTCACATTGCTTTAAGACAAAATGTGAGTTAAAATTAGATCACTGGTTCTTGGGGTTTCTTGCTAACAGATCAGCTTTTAGCAATTCTCTTGTTATTTTAGACTTTTGCTACTGTTTGCAACATTTAGCTTTACAAAACAGTTTTTTATAATTTTGCAGTCAAAAATTCTTATTTTAGGTTTTACCTATGGCTTTGCCAATTTTACTTTTAGCTCTGTTTTGATTACTTTAGCTCTTAGTTATTGTTTTGCTAATTATAGCTTTTAGCAATTTTTTTGTTTAGCTTTTGTTTGTCATTTTTGTAACTTGAACTTAACATGTCGTGTTGTTAATTTTAGCATTTTTCTACAATTTTTCACATTTTAGTTTTAGCTATATTTTTGATTAATTTAGCTTTTAGCTATTGCCTTGCTAGCTATAGCTTTTAGCATTTTTTAGTCTAGGTTTTAGCTGCAGTTTTGCAAATTTTAGTTTTACATGCTGTTTGTTAATGTTAGCATTTTGCTACAATTCTTTAGCTACAATTTTCATGATTGTAAAATTTTAGCTATTGTTTTGCTACAGCTTTTAATAACCTCTTTTTGTGTTTAGCTTTCAGC